CCTTGGAATATCTTTTCAAAATTATCATGCATTTAATTCAAAGACTAGCAGCTTCTAGTGTGTTATATATTAATCTTTTGATCGTTCATACAATTTTCTTTATCTAATATGTTGTATTGTTAGCTACTCAATAATCTCATTTGATTTTCATTATGATCAATCTACATCTGATTGGACTATTGTCTCTAACGTAAATGAGATTACTGTGTTTGTGTTTTTCCATGAATCTGTGTGTATGTTGTGTCAACTTAGGCACTGATGTGGTTGGGGTTAAAAATGTGGCTTTTGTTTGCAGATTCAAATTGAGAGTTGCATATTTACAAACAGTTGGATAGGTTCTTGAAGTTGCTTTTCTCATAGTTACATAAAAATGTCTTTGCTTAGCCAAATGAAATCTTTCTGTAGAACATTATCTCGCACGTTTGAACTACGGGTATTGTTTCGATGAATAAATAATTTCAAATAACTAGAGTTCAATTCCTAGCAGGGAAATGTATGATTACAAAAGTAACAAAGTATTGTTTCTATATTATATAGTTATTTATCCACTTGAAATTGTAGCTTTCCTTGGAAGGGACAAAACTGGGGTATATTTCATTTTTACGTTGGAAATATTGCTGCTATTAATCTTGAAAGGTGGGATGGGAAGTCCTAAAATGGTAAGATTATAATAAAAGATTTTTCTTTTTTGTTAACCTGACTTGGAGTTTGACAAACCTAATATGTTAACAAGACAGAAATACGATTTCTTGTAGCAATTCAAACTATGAAGTAACACAAGGTTTGGATTATTTTGCACTTGGCTTCATCTTTGTTGAAGTTGTTGTTAGAGAAACTTCATTAAGAATTGACAGATAGAGCTTTTCAATCTAACTTCGATTTGTTTTATTTATTTTGTTTTATTATATATTAACTCTTTTTCTAAACAATAAGTATCATATACATTTTTACACCTCCCATAAATTTGTCGTTCTATTGCCACCTTGTGACTTTGTAAATATATTCTATAAACTTGAAAAGAATCTACATTTTTGTTTACATGTACATTTTGTATTTAGTAATTTACTAGAATGTAAGAAATGGACATAAGTTTCACAATTTCATATTTTTGCTCATTAAGTCGAGAATGAAAGTATGTTGACTAAGTTTGTGCAGATTCTAGTTTGTCTCTAATTTGAACGGATGAGGCACGTTCATGTGATATTACTTGCATAATATCAAACGTGTTTTGATTCGATTCATCATGTGTGCATCTTGTTGATTATAGTTTAGAAAAACCTATTTGCCTTGTCGTGAGTATAAGACTTCAATATATCCTTTGACAGTGTCTATTAAAAGTAAAAGGATAATTAAGATTTTATGCTTCTTATAAAAGCACATTTATGCCGGGAACGTATTAAGCAGTGGTGGAAGTACACCATTTTCACATGCTATCGCTGCAGATTGGGTTAACATGGTGAATGTCTAGAGGAGGTCTCTATTTACACGTCTAGGGATTCCTATGATTTGTGGGTTTAATGCTATTCATGGACACAACAATGTCTATAATTACACCATATCCCACATAATATTGGGCTTGGGACTCCTAGGCAAGTAATATCAAACCCATTGCGTAATATTTCTTGGTACAATATTCCTTCTATCTGGCACAGAATTTATATTCTTGTTCAAAAATTTTTATTAGCAAACTCTTATAATATCATGCTAAAGTCTTATCCTCTAATATAAGTTGAATCAATATTTATAGAGGCTGTTTCAAGCAACAATATAAGCTATGAGCGCAAATTATTC